CCCTCCCTAAAAAAATAAAATAAAATAAAACCACCTATTCAGACAGAATCTGAGGGAATTCCTCTTTCTCTCTTAGCCATAAGTCTTTGTAAACTCCATGATGGAATTTGCTGTGAGCAACTGAGGAGCTCCTGATTATAAAAGTTATCCTCCTGGGGTATCTCTGTTGGGAGTGGCACAAAGCAATATTCTGTGAAGTTTGCTTTCTCTCAGGTGCTTAGAATTCTGATGTTATGATTGGCTACTTTGGCCACTGTGCCAGGCTCAAAAGGAGGCCTCCTAGAGGCAGAGTTCTCTCTCTGACTGCTAGCTGAGAAGGATGTGCTGACACGCTCCTGCGAGAAATGTGCTCCTGAGAGACACACACTCCTGAGAGACATGTGCTGCTGGGAAAGAGACACAAGAGACATCCATTGCTGAGAGAGACACTAAGGGACACACACTGCTGGGAGAGAGACTGTGAGAGACTGTTGCCTGAGAGACAGCTGGCTGAGAGAGACTGAGCATTTTTCCTGAACTTGAATTGTAACCTGGTGCTTCCTTTATAAATCCCAAAATTTGTAAGTTCTGTGTGGCCACTGCAGTGAATTATTGAACCAAGCAGAAAGGTGGTGAGTGCTGCGGGAGGAATGGTTGGTGTCAGGGTTGATGAAATGGCTGGAGGGAGGCAGCATGTTAGGCCTCACAGGAATAGGCCTTGGGCTACTGATAGCGATTCTGTCTTCCTCTTGTGCAGTTAAAGGAGGTCAGAAGATGTGGCCTCCTTGCCTCTTTAGCATATATATATATATATACTGTTTCATTTTTCTGCAAATGGATGTCCAGTTTTGCCAGTACCATTTGTTAAAGAGTCTATCTCTTCCCCCTTTAATGGGTTTCAACACTTTGTCAAAGATCAGCTGACCATAGATGGATGGATTTACTTCTGGGTTCTCAATTCTGTTCCATTGGTCTATGTGCCTTTCTTTGTACCAGTACCAGGCTGTTTTGGCTACCATGGCTGTATAGTAGGTTTTGAGACTGAGGAATGTAAGACCACATACTTTATTTTTCTTCTTTAGTAGTGTATTTCTTATCTGGAGTCTTTGTCCTTTCCATATAAAGTTGGTCATCAGATTTTCCATTTCTTTAAAGAATGAAGAGGGAATCTGGATCAGGACTGCTTTATATCTGTAGATTGTTTTGCATGGTGTTGACATTTTTCACAATGTTAAGTCATCCGATCCATGAGCATGGTATATTCTTACATTCATGAAGGTTTCTTGTAGTAGCATTTTGTAGTTTTCATTGTATAGGTCTTTTATGTCACTGATTAGATTTATTTTTAAATATTCCATCTTTTGGGTGGCTATTAAAAATGACGTTGTTTTCCTGATTCCTTTGCAGAGTTCTCTTCATTAGCATAGAGGAATCCTACTGATTTTTGTATGCTGTTTTTCTACCCTGCCACTTTGCCGAACCTTCTATTATAAGTTCCAGTAGTTTTCTTATTGAATCTGTAGGAATTTCTATGGATAGGATTATATTATCTGAAAATAAAGATAGTTTTACTTCTTCTCTGCTGATTTGGATGCCTTTTATTTCCCTTTTTTGTGTTACTGCTCTGGCTAGGTCTTCCAATACATTATTGAATAGGAGTGGTGATTAAAAAAACTTCCCTGTCTGGTTCCAGTTCACAACATGAATGTTTTCAGTCTCTCTTTGTTGAGAATAATATTGGCTGTTGGTTTTGTGTATATGTCCTTAATTATATTAAAGAATTTCCCTTCTACTCTTATTTTGCTGAGTGTTATTTTTAATCAAGAATGGGTGTTGGATTTTGTCAAGTGCCTTTTCTGTGTCATTTGATATGATCATGTAGTTCTTTTTCTTTGTTTTATTTATGTGGTGGATGACTTTAATTGTTTTTCTAATGTTGAACCATCTTTGCATACCTGATGTGAATCCCTCTTTGTCATGATATATTATTTTTTTGATGTGTTATTGGAGTCTTTTGGCTAGGATTTTGTGAGAATTTTACATCAATTTTCATGAGGGATTTTGGCCTCAGTCATAACCAGACACCTTGAGGGAATGAATCACTGGGTTTGGAGGCTCAGGACCATAGTCTTGGGGAACACTAAGGTCAATTGGCATAACGTAGTCCACAAAGACAATGTTCTACATCCTACTTTGATGGGTAGTGACCAGAGTCTTAAAAGCATGCAACTATGGGTCTTTCCCCATTCTGAGCAAAGAAGAATGAAGAAAATCAAAGACCCAGGAAACAATTAGTCCAAAGAACTAACGGAGGTCGTGAACCCCAGCCTCTATGACCCTGTGACCAGAAGGACTAGATGGTACCCAGTATCACTGTGGACCACTATGAAAAGGATGACAATAAGAAGTCCCAGGTAGAGTTGGGGGAAATGCAAAAGTAAACTAAATATCATTTTTTAAAAAAATACAGGCTTACTGGTTTAATAAAGACTGGTGGGACCCCTGGGGCTATGGTCCTTAGATACCCTTCAAGCTATGAACCGAATTTAACCCTGGGGACTCAACTGGCAGCCAAACAATAGACAGGCCTGTAAGGTGAACAGTAATATCAGAAGGGTATGCACTCATTAGAACAATCAAGCATATGAGGTCAAGAGGACAGCATTTGCCAGGAATACAGCTAGGAAGGAGAGAGGAGATTAGAAGGGAAGAGGTGAGCACAGGGAGGAAATGGGAAGAATGCTGTTACAGTGTGGGGATTGCAGCAAATATCACAAAACAGAATGTGTGTGGATTGTTGAACAGAAAACCAATTTGCTGTGTGAACTTTCACCCAAATAATATTTGGAAAAAAAAATGAGAATAACCTAAAATTTAAAAAACAAATACAGTGAAACCTATGAAAGCCAGAATGCCATGGGACTGCCTTGTTATTCCAGGTCTCGCAAGTTTTCCGCCTTTGACAGGGTCCATGCAGTCTTACTACTTTTCTATCACTCTCTAATAGTGGGAAATATTTGACTTTTCCTTCTCCAACAGGTTTCTACCTCACACAGGTTCCAGCTTTCACCAATTTTACTGTACTATTTATTAAGCTGATGCAAATATTGTTCCTTGCCACCCCAAGTGGTATGCTAGGATTTTACTTCCTGCCCTCTTACCCCAGCACATAAACCTGGATTTATTTTATTATTTTATTTTAAAGTAAAAAATAATTAGTTTTTAAATTTAAACATACAAATTCATTTTTAAAAAATTACATACATTCAATGTATAAAATTTAATAAATACATACCAGTAGGAGAAAGGAAGGAACAGAGAGAAAGATTTTTTAAAAAATTTAAGCCTGAAAATCTTACCACATGGAACTTTTTAAAATATTATCTCACATAATTCATATAGAGTAATTAGTAAAATAAAAAATATTTCCCATAGTAATAAGAGGAAGCAGCTAGGCTTATTCAGGAGAACTTGCAGTAGCAGAGATTCTGTTCTGTTCCAAGTTTCAATTCCTTTACATACCTTAGACACTGAACTTTCTTCCTAACTGCCTATTGAGCATTTGTGATATACCAGGCACTGTGTGTTTATAAAGGAGCTCTGGTGGTGTAGTGCCCAAAGCATCTGACTGCTAACCAGAAGGTTAGAGGTTCAAACCCACCAGGCACTACACAGAAGGAACACTGGGCTAATCTACTTCCATAATTACTGCTTCAGCAACCCAGTGGGGTCTCTATGAGTTGAACTCTACTCAATGGCAGTGGGCTTGCTTTTTTTTTTTTTTTTTTCCCCTTGATCTTCCTATTGTGGATTTCTAATTTTATAGCACTGTGATCTGAGAGGACATTTTGCAGTGTTTTTTTTTTGGTGTGTTTATAGGAAGGTTGGGCAATCTACTTCCATAGTGATACCGCCTGGGAAACCCAAGGAGGGGTCGCTATGAGTTAGGTCCCAACTCCACAGCACAAAACAACAACAACAATAGGAAAGAGCTCTGGCACTGCAGTGGTTAAAGTATGGGACTACTAACCAAAAGGTTTGGGGAAAGGAAAAAGGGCAATTTTTAAAGCCACACACACACAGTGCATGTATAAATCCCAGCTTTGATTTAATGCTCTGGTGGTGTAGTACCTAAGGCATTTGACTGCTAACCAGAAGGCTGATCATTCAAACCTACCAGCAACTCCTGGGAAGGAAGACTGAGCAATCTACCTCCTTAGAGATACTGCCTCAGAAACCCAAGTAGGGGTTGCTATGAATCAGAACCGCCTGGATGGTAGTGAAATTGGTTTGGTTTTTAATAGGAATAAAAATGATAGAATTTAGTTTCATTAATTATATTTTATTTAAAAGTATACATATACAATTTGAAATCTCAAATTCCATATTGATTGCCTATAAACTCAAATTTTTCCAGTAGCTAAAAGAGGTACACCATAATTAAGCAATGTCTTCATTGTTTTATCTTAAAATTTTATTTTAATTTTGTATTCTATGATACTTTGTGCTTTATATGAAAATCTTGAAGAAAATATTCTAGTAAAATGTACCCTACTTTTATGGTATTTTCACAGATGGTTCTTTGCTATATACTAGATGTGGGACACCTCATGTAATTAAAATAACAAAACTATCTGCCAGCTTTCTACTTCCTTTTTGGAGGCATCCCTTCAACAGTAGACAAGCATTTAATGTGATATACTCATTAATTTCTCTTTAATTAAAATGTTGTCCCCAAAATGATGGCTTCTAATAGGGTTGTTTTCTTTTTCTTTGCAGAGAACATTCCGATATCTATCTCCAAAATGGCCCAGATAGAATTGGAAGAGTATACAAGAAGGCCCTTTATCTTCAGTACACAGATGGAACCTTCAGGACGGTTGTGGAAAAACCACGCTGGTTGGGATTTTTAGGCCCTATTATCAAAGCTGAGACTGGAGATAAAGTTTTTGTACACTTAAAAAACTCTGCCTCCAGGCCCTATACTTTTCATCCACATGGAGTAACTTACTATAAGGAACACGAGGGTAAGTTTGGCTCATGGTCTAGATAAAAATTCCTTTTACTATTCAGTTGTTAAGGAGCTCTGGTGGCGTAGTGCCTAAGGCATTTGCCTCCTACCCAGAAGGCTCTACTTCCGGAAAGATTTATTGCCTTGCTATGAGTCAGAATCAACTCGATGGCAGTGGGTTTGCGTTTTTATTGTTTTATTCAGTTGTTGTTGTTGTTGTTTCAAATCATCAGATTGTGAATGCTTTCTGGATAAGAGCTATAGCTGAGCAATTTAGCTCCGAACTTTTTTATTAATGGATATTTTGGTTCATCATAATAACGGTGCTTTTTTCTTGGTGGTGGGTGGTGCTTGTTTATTTGAAGTGTGAACGTAATGGCATTTCTGGGTGAATTTGGGTTGTGGATCAGTGACAGCTGGGATTTGCAGTGTCCAACTCCTTCCCAGACCAATAGTTAAAATAAGGTAAATGGGGAATTTAAAGCCTAGAAGAGGCAAAAATCTAGAGGGAAGAGAAAAAAGACTCATAAAGAAAGTTGTGGACCTATTGTGGCTGTTGTCGCCTCCTATCTTAACTTGGAAAAACTCTGTCCCAGCTAAGACTGCATGAGTTGTTCCATTCTTTAATTCAAAGATAGACATAGGGTCACATCTGAGACACAATTAACCAAAAGTGTAATTTGCATGGCAGACTCTGAAGCTTTAAATATAGAGAACATGTGGTCTCATTGTTAGTACTTGATGATGATGATGACAACATAAAGAGGTGGTATTTTGTTGTGGTTAAGAACAAGGGATTTGAAGTTTGAGTCCCAACCTTGCCTTTTACTGGCTGAGTGATCTTGAGCAGTTTATTTAAATTCTATGTGCATCAGTTTCCTCATCTGTAAAACAGGGACAATGATAGTACATAATAATACCTTGATAAATGTCAGTTATTGTCATAGGCAAAAATGCTAAGGTCATGCTACAGTTCAATGAAATAATGAGGAAAAAATCTGGAAACTAATGTAAAATTATATTTCTTCATTTCTAAAGAGTGAACGTTTTGACTACAACCAAAACCAAAACCAAAACCAAACTCACTGCCGTGGAGTCAGACCTGACTCATAGTGACCCCTCCTTGGGTTTCTGAGACGGTATCACTACGGAAGTAGATTGCCCAGTCTTCCTTCTGAGGAGTGGCTGGTGGATTTCAACCACCAGCCTTCTGGTTAGCAGTCAAGTGCCTTAGGCACTACACCACCAGAGCTTCTTTTTTCTTTAAGCATAACCATAATACCATTATTACACCTAAAATATTAACTAATAATTCCCTAATATACCATGAAATTATTTTTAAAAAATATGACATTTTAAAAAATATGACAAAATATGCTTGGCAGAGAAAAAGTAAAAATAGATATAACCAAGAAATATGGGGGTAAATGTACAATATGGATGGAGCTGGAAGACATTAGGCTAAGTTAAAATAAGTCAATCACAAAAGGACAAATACTATATGACCCTACATATAAAAAGACAAGAAAGGCAAATGTATAGAGAACAAATTTATTAAGGCAAGAGCAAGGGGGAAAGAAGGTGTTAATGGTAATGGAAATATGATACTGATTAAGGGTAAGATTACATGACCCATATCTGTTTTTATTTTTTTCTGCCAAGTGATTACATTCATAGCATAAAAGGATGATTGCCATATATTTTTTTAAATAATTTCATGGTATATTAGGGAATTATTAGTTAATATTTTAGGTGTAATAATGGTATCATGGTTATGTTTAAGGAAAAAAGACTTCTTACCTTCTTTTTTCAGTAAAAGTATTTATTCTTAAACAGATAGTAGCAGATGGTATATATTCTGTTCTGCAACTGAATCTTTTAACAGTTAACTTTTGAGATCATTTTTGTGCTGACCCATTGTTTTTCATGGTTGCATAATATTCCATTTTGTGAATGGAGAGCATGCTTTATTTAATTAGAGAAATGTACTTTTGTTGTTTCTGGTCTTTTGCTTATTATAGATCATTCTGTAATGAATATCAATCATATACTTTATGCTAATGTGTGGGGATGCCTCTAGGATTTATTCCAAATTGTTGTCAGTAGGTGCGTGCAGTTGTAATCCTGATAGAAATTGCCATTTTTTCTTCAGAGAAATTGTGCCAATATACAAAAAGAATTCTTACCTTTTAGTGATACATACTCATCTATTTATGAATAAAATGCTATGACTTCTGGGATTTGGTTTAAAATAATCTGAGGGTGATGAGGAGAGTGGACAGGGACAGAAATAAAGCAAGACTGGCCTCAAGTTGATAACTTTGAAGCTGGGAATTGGGACATGGAGGTCATCATATTATCGCTCTACTTTTACATATGTTTAGAAATTTCCAGAGTTTAAAGTAAAACATAGAAATATTTCATGGTTAGTTTTTGAACAAATATACCATATAAGAAGTTTCAAGTTATAAGAAAGGGTGGCTTTTTGTTCATGCTTTTATACCATGACCCCAGGGCAAAAATGGTTCTTTAAATTGCAAACAACGGTTCGTATACCCCACTGGCATCTAGTCAGTTCCAACTCATAGTGACCTTGTAGGACAGAATACAACTACCCATATGGTTTTCAAGTCTGTAAATCTTTCAGAAGCAGACTGCCTCATCTTTCACCTATGGAGTAGCTGGTGGGTTCGAACTAACCTTTTGGTTTGCAGCTGGATGCTTTAACCACTGTACCACCAGAGCTCCTTAAAAGTCACTATGCTACTGATATATCTATTGATGCTCCCTGAAGACTCAATCAAGTATAAAAAATAATACCAAAATTTTGTGTGAAGTTTCCAGACATCTAGTCATTAGCCTCTCATTCTACTGAGTTCAAATAGAAGAACATCACTGCATCCTTACATGGTCACATGCTAGATGTTCAATAAATATTTGCTGAATGAAGTAATGGACTGTTTACACTCTCATTTAAATTCAAACACATTCACTTTGTAATTTTATATCCTGTTGCTTCCCAGGGGCCATCTATCCTGATAACACCACAGGTGTTCAAAAAGCAGATGACAAAGTGTATCCGGGAGAGCAGTACCAGTACATATTGCATGCCACTGAAGAACAAAGTCCTGGAGAGGCAGACAGCAATTGTGTGACCAGGATTTATCATTCCCACATTGATGCTCCAAGAGATATTGCCTCAGGGCTCATCGGACCTTTAATATTCTGTAAAAAAGGTACATTTCTAATTATTGTTCACAATATGACCATAAGTAACACTAGGGCAGCACAGTTTGTTGTTTAAATATATTAGGTCTTCTGTGTTAAGATTGAATAGATAAAGCAAAAAGGTGGTGAGACTAGGAAAAAAAAATAAGAAAAGAAGAGCAAGGCACAGAAAGGAGAAGGGATAAATGAAACAAACATTCATATGGAAAAACCATCAGTGAACTAAGCTGCAAGAAATATGGGGATATATGCCACAATATGGATGGAGCTGGAAGACATTAGACTGAGTGAAATAAGTCAATCACAAAAGGACAAATACTGTATGACTCCACATATAAAAAGACAAGAAAGGCAAATGTATAGAGAACAAATTGATTAGAGCAAGAGCAAAGAGGAAAGAATATATTAATGTTAATGGAAATATCACACTGATTAAAGGTAGAGTTGCAAAACCCATTCAACTTTTTACAGATGTACAACTGTAAAAAGTTGAATTGGAAAAAGTTGTGTGATAGAAATATTTACAACAACAACAATGAGGAAAAAAAAGAGTAGCTATCAAAACAGCTTATGTATAACCAAAAGCCTCATGGGATTTGGTTTCTTAGTTTGGAGGTTTAGGGTCATGGTTTCCTGGGATATCCTAGTTAATTGGCCTAATAACATGTTTGATGCTTCTGTTCTACCGCCTAAGTTACTGAGTTATGCCTGGGGTCCTAAAAGCTTGCAAGCAGCCATCCAAGGCACAGTGAGTCTCCCTTTTCCTGGAGCAACAGAGGAGGGAGAGATGGAATGTGTGGCTAATTGCCTCCATGAACAACTGCCTTCTTTGCCATGAGACCAAAAATGGATGGCACATGGCTACCATTACTGAATAGTTTGATTAGAGATGCTATAGAAGAATTCTGATATAAAGGGTATACATACAGAATAGAATTTCAGATTCCCATGGACTCTAGAATTCCTGTAGCCATGAACATTAAATGAATCTCTGAAACTATTGCCCTGAGATAATCTTGAAATCTTAAACAAAAATATCCCCTGATATTTAGATATTTAGAAACTACTGTTTCTAAACCCAAACAGTAGTTTAGCTTAACTAATAAAAGAAAAGTATCTGCCTTGAATATTTGCTCCTTTAAGAACTATCTATATGGGATTAAACTGACAACAGCAACTTGAAAGATTAGATAGGAACCTTAGGAAGCAGTGTATTTATGTTAGTGGTGGAGGAACAACTCATAAAGGAGGGTGAGAGTAGTTGCATAACTCGAAGAATGTAATCAAGGTCACTAAATGGTACATGTAGAAACAGTTTAATTGGTGTATATTTGCTGTGTATATTATGAATAACAACAACAAAAGAAATAATTTTAATAAGTAAACATGGGGATAAATTTGCTGTATCTAACTTCCACTTCTTGGAAGGAAGATGGGGCAATCTACTTCCGTAGTGATACTGCCTCGGAAACCCAAGGAAGGGTCGCTATGAGTTGGGTCCAACTCGATTTCACATAACAACAACAACAACTTCTATCAGTGGTTATTGAAGAGATATATGGTTTTACCAAATGCAACTCCTTCAATGACATTTCATAGTGAGGGATTTATCTGTATGGTATTGATAAGTATATCATACCATTTATATCATGATGAAAAAGACAACAAAGCTCAAGAAATAATTCTTACTTGAATGATAATTCATTGCTGTTGTTGCTAGCTGCCATTGAGTCAGCCCCTGACTCATGGCAACCCCACGTACAATGCAGCAATGTGCTGCTCTATCCTGTGCCATCACCATGATAAATCATGGATTGGACTGTTGTGCTTTGTAGGGTTTTCAATGGCTGATTTTTGAAGCAGATATACAGGCCTTTCTTCCTAGTCCCCAGGCCTTTCTTTGTAGATGATATTAATCTGGAAACTCTGCTGAAATGTAGTCAGGATCATTTTTTGTTATTGTTGTTACGTGCTGTCAAGTAGGCCCCGACTCATAGCGACTCCTCCTTGGGTTTCTGAGGCAGTATCACTACGGAAGTAGATTGCCCAACATTCCTTCCGAGGAGTGGCTAGTGGGTTTGAACCACCAGCCTTCTGGTTAGCAGTCAAGTACCTTAGGCACTATGCTACCAGAGCTCCCAGTCAGAATGTTAGCAAGACACAAGCCTCCACCGACAGAGAGGTAGTAGCTACACATGTGGTTCATTGGCTGGGAATTGAACCTGAGTCTCACACACTGAAGGCAAAAATTCTACCACTGAATCACCACTGCCTCTGAACAATAATCAGTTACCAGCAAAGACTTGTCTTAGCTTGTGACTATATATGCCAGAAGATGTACGTACAACTCTGAATTCCAATCTTTCCATTTGCTAAAAAAGTATACAGTAATTATATAACCAGGGGACATCCAGATATATGAGTGTCTCCCAAGCTGAGGGTACTGAACAGGACATTCTCTAAGTGTTCCCGTGTTTATAAAATGTGTAACTTGTTAATATTTGTGAGTTATTAGGAAAACAAATATTAAATTTAAAAATACACAAAACACTTGAAAACATGCATGAAAATGAACACTAAAAAAATATTTTTACTAAAATAGTAACTTTCACTGCAGATTCTCTGGATAAAGAAAAAGAAAAAAATATTGACCAAGAGTTTGTGGTAATGTTTTCTGTGGCGGATGAAAATTTCAGCTGGTACCTGGACGACAACATTAAAACTTACTGTTCGAAACCAGAGAAAGTTGACAAAGACAATGAAGATTTCCAGGAGAGCAACAGGATGTATTGTAAGATTACAGAGCACACGTTAAGTTTGCTTTTTGCTTTTTGTTCTTGATCCAATAATTCTGCTAAGCTTCTCCCTCACTTGATTGAGTAACATATTTCTAGTCTGTGGCACTGATAACAAAGTATATTGAATGTGCAACTTAATATACAGCCAAACAGGTCAAATCAAAACTCTAAGCCTGGTAAAGCCACTTATTCCCAAAGTAGTAAGGATAAATCTTGCTCTCAAACTGATAAGGATAAAGCAGCATTGTCAATTATGGTTTCATAGGTATGTCTTTTTATGTTTATGTATTTATTTATCATTAACCTCATTCTAAAAATTATTTGAGGCAGCCTAAAATAAATAAAATAATGCATATATAATAAAACATCTGACTATATTTAAGAAAATAGTTTGAACTACTAACTCTGGAAGGTATTCCTTTTAAATATTGTATTGACCTTTATCATATCTCCTACCTTGTAAGTTATAATTAACTTACTCTATTTCTTCTAGAAATAACTTCTTTACTGCCTACTCCCTTTAATTCTCAGATACAAAATTATGAGCTTAGATTATCTCTCACTCAAACTTTGCATGAGAAATCAAGCCTTGACACCAAACTAAAACAATGAGTATAGATATTGGTTTTTGTTTGTTTGTGCTTAGCTTCTTCAAAACAAGGAGCTTTGGTGGCACAGAGGATAAAAGTATTCAGCTGCTAACCAAAGGGTCAGCAATTCAAAACCTTGAGCCACTCTGGAAAAAGATGAGGTAGTCTGCTTCTGTAAAGGTTTACAGCCTTGGAAGCCCTATTGGGGCAGTTCTACTCTGTCCTATATGAGTCACTATGAGTCAGAATCAACTTGATGGCCCTGGGTTTGATTTGGTCTTCAGAACAATCTTTACAGGAAACTGAGAGCACAAACAAAAATAACTGTCCTACCAAAGCAGAAAATAACAAGTATGCTTTTTGTTCCCAACATTTACTTTCAATTGACTGAAGGATCTTCTTTCTGTACTTTAATTCTGCCTCTGTTACATATTAACAATAATAGATTTTAGGGGAGAAAAATAGAGAAAGATATTCAAACTTCCAGTATGGAGATGTCTGTTTGGGTATCATTGTCTGATTTGGTGCATTCAGAGTCCTTCCTAGAACTAATTTCCATCTGACCTCTAGACCCACACAGTTTGAACCAAGACTCCAAGTTTCTTCCATGGGTCTCAGGCCATCCTGCTTTTCACCTTTGAGTTCTTTGTGGCTCTTGTCCCTGTTGTCCTTACCCCACATTTCCCCCTTTCCTCCTTCATATCTCTTCCAGTCTTGTCTTCCAATTT